GTGTAAAGGTGCTAAGGCATGGTAAATCTTGGAAAACTCAATGTACTCGTGTTTGTGTAGCGCATAAAATTCCGTCTTAATGGGACCGATGTATACGTAATCCGTTGAAGATCAAAGTTTTCTCTGCAAGCATTGTTAATTTCTCCGAGAAATGGAGAATGGGGTTCACACAGAACAAATATTTTTTTCTACATTTGACAATAAACAACTGTAGATCCTGGCTGGTTCGACAGTTGTTTATGGTACCTGTCCCCATAGAACGACGTTTCCTATGCGTCTTACTGGAATCTGAAGACATGAAGTGATTTCGTGAAAAGGAGTATATGAGGTGATTTCTAGTATGGGCCTTAATTTTGAGGCTGAAAAGTTTCTATCACTACGTAATCCTATTATAATCAAGGCTTTCCCCCTCCATCTGGAACTCAAGCAAAAATTAATTAATTAATTAATGAAACTTGGAAGAAAAATAGTTACGAGTATATACTGATGGCTCCAGATTGGATGACTCTAGTAAAGCTGGTGCAGGTATCTACTGCAAGTTTTTTTTCCATATACACCCATCGGCCCTTTTAAAACTTCCTTTGACGGTGAAATATCTACAATTCACTCATCCCCTTTGCAGTTGCATACAAGAGTTTTGAACACAGTTCAATGGACTCTAAATCCACCCTTCAAGCTAATGCCTCAAAACGTGATTTTCTTTCCTCTACTGTTAATTATTGTTTTTATCTTCTCAATTGGCTTATCAGTAATGGCAAAGAGGTTGCACTTCAATGGATCCCTGCCCATTGTCGAATTTAGGACAGGACAATGAGACTGCTAATTGTTTGGCTAAAAAGGAGTCTCAGTCCTCTTAACATCACATCCCGGTTTCCCGTACAACATCAGATTAATTGTTAGAAGAGAGTTTGGAACCATTTTTTCCCCAGGAATTCACTTCCAGGAGCATAAATGTACCATGATGTATTTGTGAATTACCCAGATGACCAAAAAAGAAATCTGTTGCGATGTTCCGTCTCATTTCTGGTCATGACTGTCTCCGCAAGGACCTCCATCACATCAGCGGGGTATCAGACACTTTCTGGTCTCTATGCAACCTAAGACAGTACATGGACCTCTTGCTCCTCTTGTTCCTTGCATTTCGATTTGATAGCGATATTGGGTGACGAGTACTGCCCTAAATTTATTGATTTAATGGCGTTGTTTTTCCCTTGTGTTATGTTTGTTATGATGCTCAGTTTTCCTGTAACTTGCCGTTTAAAATAATAAAAAAAAATACTTGAACACGCCACCCAGATGACAATAGTGGTTAATGAAGCTGACTGGAAGTGGCAGGCTGTTGTGATTGGGGTTTGAATCCCGAAGGAGGCATGGATGTTGGTAAATGCATAATGCCTGCGTGGCGCTCTAAATATTCGTAGAGCCGAAATACTTCTTCAGTAGTTGGTGGTAGGAAAAGAGAGTAAGGAAACTCACTGGGGTGGAATGAAGCCAAAACGTACTGCTACCTATATGGTGCACATAACTGCGGATAAAGACAAGATTAATCTATAGTTTTCTTCCACGATGAGTTTAGCCTCGATTTGAGATCATTGATTGGGGGGGCATTAGAAAACACGACGAAACATATTTGAACATGATTATTGTAGTAGAAGATTAACAAAATCTAGTTTAAAGATATTCCTACCAATTTGTATGTTCGAATCTTGGTGCAAATACAGATCCATCGTGTAGCTGTATGGGAGCGATGCTTATTAAGGGTGTCGAAACACAGTGACCAGCCGTCTACGTGGTAGTCGTTATTTTGTCTTTAATATCCCTCGTGTTGTTTCGAAGTGTGACCTTAGCCCCTTAAATGCCGCCGACGTGTATATACGTGTCACTCAACCGATGCGTTATAGGCACCAGACATATATAAACGTCTTTCCAAAATTCGACCATTTCCTTTGCATTCCTATCAGCAAAACTATTCCGAAGGCTTTGGAATGCGGTAAAATGACCTTGACAGTATTTGGGAAGAGTTTACTTTTTGCAGAAAAAAGATTTGCAAATTTATGCCCTTTCTTTACCCTCCAACACACCGCATACGTGAGCCTATGTGATCAATGGTGGCACTGGGGGTGAATTGCGTAACTTTTAATATTGGCAATTAAGAGGTTAAAAACCAGTCACACTCACACATACAAAATCAGTCAATTCAAACACATTTCCAAGATCAATCAATTCACACACAATTCCAAGATGAATCAATCCCATTTCCAAGTTACGATTTTGAAGTACTTTTTCCTCAAGCTGTTCGAAGTGTAGATTTAGCTCATTGTTTGTATTCCCAGGTGGATCGGAAAGCAGCATGGGGGGAGGAGTCATTGAATATATATATATAAATTCGAAATTATTTAAATCCAGAAGAATTGAGACTTACATCAATCAAACTCTAGAAGTGGCTGCAATATGCAGATAAGATAAGATAAAGAGAGTAAATAAACTGAGTTATAATCTGAACTAGATACAACCCCTCAGCTATAATGATTCGATGACTGTGTATTGCTGAATTTTAAAAGAGTTGATCTTGGACGTTGAAGCTGTTGGCCCTAATTCTGTCACAATCATCTGTAGTCATCAATAATCATCTGCTACCCTGACTATATACACTATACAGGGTGATTCACTGCCAGACCGAAGAACTTGCAGGATGTGTAGGGGTTGACGAGACAACTCGGAGTCACATAGCAACTACACGATTGCAAATGCCGTAGTTGCGAGCAATGGTTGAAAGAAGCAGATAATAAGAACAGATACAGCAACACATTAATAGGACAGAAAACGTTTTATTGAAAAGTTGTACAACAACAGAGTTCGAAATTATGACCAGAAGTCGTCTTGCATTCCTTAGAGTGGCGCTGCATGGAATTCCTTATGTTCTAGAAGATTCCTAGAATGTGACGTGTTCTCCTGACAGCAACAAATATTCGAACGATGAGGTCTTATACTGAAGAATTGGGCATTTCGTATACCGAAAAGAACCAGGGAACTCGTAAGAAAACCTGTCTAACGTAGCCTGTGGACAATTGCGAAGATTATGTGATGTGAAATATGCCTGTTGGAGTAACGTTCTTAGTACAAATGCCGAGTGATGAGCCTTTACAATCCGCACCTCTACACACTATCAGCATGTCGGTAGTTCCTCGTTTGAATACGAGTTCACCCTACTACTTAAAGGAACGGATCGCAAACGTTAAGCAGGATTGATGTTTACGAAACTTTCCTTATAGAGCCATCTACAGTAAGACAATGCGGAGGAATCTTCCAGGACGTCAGGAATTCCATGCAGAATCACTGGCAGATATGCCACACGACTTCTAGCCGTAATTTTAAACACCTGTGTTGCTGTACAACCATTTAATAAAATGTTTTCTGCTCCATTACTGTGTTGCTGTTTCTCTGTTCTTTTTCTCTACTTTGCTCCTTAACTCGCCACTATGGCAGTTGTCCCATTTATAGTTCAATCTAAACCAGGGGTACTCAACCTTTTTTTTCTGTTGCGCCGCGTACATATTCACGCGGGCCATATACATATATTGGTTATTTCACACGGGCCGCAACATGAGCATAAATGGGGGAGGGGGGGAGGAATTGCTTTGAGACCAAGATAACATTGGAAATTTAAAACTTCCAATGTTATCTTTATCTTATTTCCAATGTTATAACTATTTTTGATATTTTTTTCTTAATTTTTGCCTCTAACACTAAATTAGTAGCATTTAAGAAACAATCCTTCACAATTTCTGCATCAGTATACAGTTTCATACGATTACCAATAATATAACAAACTTTATAAAATGTCTTTTTTATCGCTGTCATATTACCACTGGCAAAACACTTTATTTCTGTTGCAAGGAAAATTAAAGAAAGCTGGTTTATCCCCTCTTGCAAAAGATCTTCGAAGAAAAGTGTCATAAAATGATTCCTGTTTATTGAAATTTTTAAATACATCACTTTCTTGACGAATCAAACAATTACTGATTCATATTTGTTTTTCACCACAAAATAGTCAACTAACCAATCAATCCTCTTGAAACGATATATTTTATTCGAATATTTTTCACTTGCAAGATATGTAAGATTGTTATAAATTAGTTCCACCCATAAAATTGTCGCTAATCTACTGGAGTCTGTTATCACTAACCGTAACCGTTCCAAATAGAATGGGTAGAATATTCATTGGGGCACTTGATCTCCGAAGACCCAAATAGAAAACGAATATCAATTCGCACACGTACGGCACCGACAGAAAAAAGCAAAATTGATACATTTGATTTCTTGACAAAGAGTTTCCCACCAAACTTTTAATACAGTGTTTTAAAATAAGTGAATTTCTCAGAGCAATGGGCCAAGACCGGGCCACTTAAAAAGGCTCGGTGAGCCGCAGGTTGAGTACGCTGCTGTAAACGAAAGCCATCTGGTGAATATATTTGCCTCTTGGTGTCGGAGAAGAAGAAGACGGGTAACAATCAAAAATTCAAAAGACGACTCTACAGCTGTTTGCTCCCAGGGCGGGAGAGAAAAATCTATAAAAACTTGGAATGAAAAAACAAATTGGTGATTATGCTCGCCATTGGGCGTGAAAAATCAAAAGAGTGGGAGAAACGTCCGTCATGCTACAACTTATGATGCAATATTGTTTAGGCAAGGAAAAAATAATATAAAAAGGATTAAGTCAAATCCTACTTAGGTCAACAAAGAAAGATTTCATTTTAACCACTTTTTATTAAATAGTTACAACTAATATAAATACGCATATACATATGACGGAATCACACTTTTAAGTGGCAAAATAGAAAGCGATTTTCCTTGCAATTATCCGTCTTCCTTTCTATATAGGGTGTTGGGCTATTTATTTATTTAGTAATTGTTGTTACTATTTATATTCATTCATTAAATTTAATTATTCTAATAAAATAATATAGTAAAAACTGAAGTGACATTCTCAGTAATTAGGCCATACCAGGTGGGATTCAAACCCACGACCTTTGGATTAGCAGTCCAACACGCTATCCATTGCGCGACAGTGAATGAATGAGCGATTTTACTTATTATTTAGGGTACAAGAGTATTATTTTTGTTTGTATCTTTTTATTCCTTAATTAAAAAGAATTGATGAATCAGTACTTGAAAAACACAGTATTAACATCAAGTGTCATCCGCTACAAGTTTAAAAGAACTAGAATGGATAAATTGAAAGTGTTTTATTAACGATTAAAAGTTTGGACAAGATATATATATATATATATATATATATATATATATATATATATATATATTATAAATGTGAAAGTTTGTGAGGATGTTTGTGGGTCTTTCGCGCACAAACAACTGAATGAATTTTAATGAAACTTTACAGTAATATAGCTTATACATCAGAATAGCACATAGGCTATAATTTATAGCACAGACTATAATTTATAAAGGTATTGTATGAAGTGTCCTAAATATAACTATACTTGTCAAGTAAGTAGGAAAAAATTCTGCCATCTACAAGAAATTCTGGCGTGTGCTGCAAAAAAAGCCGAACACAGCATATATCTATCTTTTGTTTGTAAAAAACCTTTTTTGTTTTGGCTACGCAAGGTGCTCGCTTCCAATTAATTCCTCTGATCAGCATAATGCCTATTTTTTTTATTTCAGAGTAAAACTAAGTTTTGAAAGGAGAGGTTGTTATGAATCTCTCTTTATTTTAATGTTTTTTTATGATTTTATTATGCATATTTGGTAGTAAGAAATTGATATTTTTTCCAAATAAATGCTTTTATCAGTTCTGATACTTAAAGTAAATAAACTTTCTCTTTCACACTGCATCATTTCGACAAATTTTCAAAATTTTTTGCGGCTAGTAGTTAATTATAACGCTATAATTTTAATTGAATAGGCAGATATAATTATTTTTACACTTAAAAACACAATAACTACCGTACTGTATTTTTTGGAGTGTGAGAGTGAGTGAATACTAATGTCGCATTGTTCAACTACACGAGGACTTTTGGCAACGGATCACGTAATTTTGAACCATGGTCAAGTGACGTAGACGACACCTGAGCTGGCACCCTCTTCTCCTAACTACCACACCACACCAACTTAGAAGGAATATTCTACCAATACTTAGCAGGAATATTCTTTGAAATCCACTCTTCCAAGATATATGGCAGTACGGGTTCCATGATGAGTATTTTAGCGGAAAAAATAGTTTGTCAAAATTTAAGTGTCTTATATTTTTGTAAGTTAATGAAGACCTTAGAAAATGATTTGACTACTTATTTTAAGTGAATGGTATATATAATTAATTTTACAGTGGAATATATTTAATTAATTTATTAGCTCTAACGAATTAAATTTTCCAAAGTGGAGTATTTGGTTTATGTATATCCCTTAATTTTAAATGTAGTGATCCAAAAAAATATTGTATGAAAAAACTGCAGTAAATCATAATGCGGTTGGATAAAGTATTAACATGCATCGCCACCCTACACGGCGGGTCTTACAAAGCACTAATAAAGCTCGAGTTACGAAAGTAGCTATGCATTTGCCAACTTGACTCTATCGTTAACATTTCGTTATGTTTTTCATTGAATCGTCATTATAATTTAAGAAACGGCGTTACTTGCGAATATTAGAATTTTAACATAAAATAAATACTACAGAAAGTAATATTAATGTATTATACTTTCAGATAAAAGTTATTTACACTATTTTAAGCGTTAATTACACAAAACTTTTAACAATGTGTTACTTTTGCTGAGCAGAAATCAGCTTAGGTAGGTATTTTCAAAAATCGACCCTCAAGAGTGTTACGGGGAGTTAAAAACAAAAAAAAATCCTTTTTATCAGCTATTAGATCTGCATACTTAAAATTTAACAAAAGTGTTTGATTTTTCCACTTTTGTTTTTTGTTTACCTGAGATATGCAAAAAGCTTTTTTTGTTTAATTTGCAATTCACGTAAAATTAACTCATTAAAAACTTCTTTATCCTTCAACCTGTGTTGTTTAATTTTTCAGTTCACCCGTGCGAAGAACGGGTATACCAGCTAGTATATATATATATATATATATATATATATATATATATATATATATATATATATATATATATATATATATATATTTATATATATATATAATCTGTTACGTTAATGTTAATACGGGCTCGGGGATTTTATGCAAAACAGTCGCAAAGAAAAATAACAGTTCTTTAAGGACGATGCGAATTTATTGTCAAAATTCCAATCTTTGAAATACAGGATTCAGCAGCAATATTCACAGAGTAAATCTCAGAAGGTCATCACACCTTCAACAGCACTCAGACACAATTACCAGTGTATAAAATACACGTATGTTAAAGATTATTCACATGCACAACCGAGGTAATCATGGTCAAGGCAAGTTTACTAGTCGCCAGTCAAAACAATACTGACTGTCGTTTCGGCGTGCATCTCTATTTATACGCCCAGCGGAAACTTCGAAAGAAAATCTGCTTGCGTCACAGAGCGTGAAATTAGTGTATTTCTTCACAAGTTTCTCCAAGAATCAAGACGGTCTCAAACTGGCCACCATGGTCGCCAAAAATGATGCCAACTTGCCTCTATCGCCAAGTTCTCATTAAATTGCCACTACAACGTAAGGGACGGCGTTGCTTGTAAACATTACAATTTTAACGTAAATTAAATCTAATTTAGATTAAGATAAATGCTTTACACATCCAAATACACATTATTTACACTATTTACGCAAAATTTGTAACAATATATATATATATATATATATATATATATATATATATATATATATATATATATATATATATAGGGAGAGAATGAACTAATAGTAGGAATTAAATTATAACTTCTCTAGTTATATACTTGAAATACAGAACAAAGTTTAGTTACAATTCTACAAGACATCGCGGGAATTTCGATTAGTAATAAAATAAAAGTAAGCTATTTTGCAGGAGCCGTCAATCGGTTAAGAATCTTAAATTCCCTACTTTGCGTGCAGAAATCCCAACTTCACTGGAAATCAAAACTCCTTAACTTCTCTAGACATTGACCGCACTGTCAGTAGACATTTGGCATTTCCAATTCCATCTGCCAAAACACCGCTCCTTTCGGCTCTAGTTTTCTCTAACAAACATTATTCGTAGAAAGAGATTTATTCGGCATTGAATCTGACATTAGGAGAGCAAAGCGATATTTATATATTATATCGAGGATGGGGAAATGTGTCAAATATTTCTATCTGCTTATTTGAAAATCATACCAGAATTTTACGATATTTGTGAGGCTGCGATGTTTAATACGAGATGTGCCTCCTAAGTATAGTTCTTTAATTTCATTCTTGAAATATTTTTGAATCAAGCACATTATTCAATTAAAATTTCTGCTTAATGTAGGACTCGATAAAATATATAAGATTGGAGAGATGAATGCCTGCTCAAATGTTGTCCTTATGATTTGACCAAAAAAATTACAATATTCTTCGCATTGAATAACCAATGTGTTGCTATATAGTGAGTCAATAATAAACACTCCCCCTCTCATTCCGTGAATTTAAGAACAAATTCAGGAATTAACTTCGTATTTTGTCTAGGCTATTGTATACACAAAATATTCTTATCATAATTCGGGTCGATCTTGCTAAATCAAAATAAGTCGTGTATAAAGCCTATTAACTTTTTTTCAATTTCTACTGTTATAGCTCACACTCTCTATATATTTATTTATTTATCTTGGTGGAATATTCAATCGCGCGCGCGCGCGTTAATAAGATACATTTTAAAACACTTCATTGAGCTGAAATTTTATATATATGATTATTTTGGATGACAATACAATAATTTAACTATACTTAATAAATATTAACTGATTAAAACTAATTATTCAAATAATTGCAAATACAGCCCCGTTGGAATTTTTTGGCGACTTGTGTCAAAACTTGAAAATATTTTTATCTCACATTTTAAAGCACTCAAACATTTGAGCCGAAATTTCCTGTACACTATTGTTTTGGGTTTAAATACGAAATTTAATTACAATTAATTAAAATTAATTGACTCAAACTAATTATTTAAAAAATTACAGATACAGCCACGTTGATTTGATTTTTAGTTACTTGGGTCAAAACTTTAAAAGATTTTTTTCTCACGTTTTAAAGCATTCAATTGAACTTAAATTTTATATACACGATTATTTTGGATGACAATACGATACTTTAATGATAAATAATAAAAAATTAATTACTGCTGAATGTCGTGATTCCGTCGTATGTACACTGGTGTGCAAAACTTAAGCAACAATGTAAAAATTAAGCAGAGATAACCATGAAATTGCAGAAAAAGAGGTCTGAAGATCAGTACAGTGAACACGTAAGTCAGTAGAAACGTCAAGCGTATGCAAATATCAGGAACAAAACGTCAGAAGCGACGTGACCGTACGCAAAACGCGTGATGTCGGCGCGTGCTGTTCAACAGTAAAATAAAATGAAGGACGCAGACGCAATTCAACATATTCGCTGCAAGTACCAGTGAGTCAGTTCGTGAAATATGACTAGAAATATCTCCTGGACGACTTCACACGGGGAAGAATGATCGGAAAGCTGGAGGAGGGGTGTACCGTCACCAGTGTAGCTGCAGAGTTCGGAATCAACAAAAGTGTCGTTTCGCGCGCTTGGAAAGCGTTCCAAACCACAGGTACAGCTGTTAGAAAGGTTGGTGGTGGCCGCCCGAGGACGACAACTGCAGGGGATGACCGATATATCATCCTGCAGGCGAAAAGAGGCCAACGGCAGTCAGCAAGCGTCATTGCTCAGCAACTCTCTACAGCAACGGGGTGACAAGTGTCGCGGTTTACTGTGGCCAGACAGACGCCTTCACAAAGGGGCCTATTCACCCGCCATCTGAACGCTGCCTCCCGTTGAAAGTTGACCACCGACGCCACCGTTTACAGTGGTGCAGAGAGCACAAAAACTGGACAACTGTCAATGGAGTCGTGTCCTCTTTACGGATGAGAGTCGGTTCAGTACCATAA